CATTGTGCATGATCAAAGAAATTTACGAGAAGGTGGAGGGAGGTAAGAAGTTTCTTGCCGAGCTGATGCAGAGCGGCTGCCTCAAGATTCGTATGCAAGCTTGATCAGGGGTTTATGTTACTATCTAGAACATTTTCTTATGCATAAGGTCAGGGCGCCGGGAAGAAGCACCCACAATCCGATGATGAAAACATGCGGCTGTATAAGCTCTTCAAGTCGAACACTATCAGCAGTGCCTGGGCAGGATCATATCCACTTACAAAGTGTGTGCTAGTTCCCTCCGGCCCGGTGACCCTCTATGATATAGTATAGTGCCAAGATGCGAACATCAACAGAGTCGGCAACAAGACGACGGCCAGCATGGAGGCCTCGACCAACAAGGCAGAGAGAGCTGCTATCGCAGAGACGATTCAAGGAAAGGTCGCAGGGATGCACAAAAGTGCCTTGACACCGGCGCCCAAGAAAGGGGATGGAAAGAACAAACGCAAAAAGGACTGCGAGAGAATCGTACTGGGAAGTGTTTGTCGGGATTTACCGGGAGCTTTCTTCATTATTTCTAGTCCTGCAGGAACTTACACCGGAGGAGATTGCGAAAAAGGCTTTCGATAAGGACTTGCAATCGTGGCTCGACATATTTAGTGAAAGACGGATCTTGCTTGATTGCAGTTGCAGTACCCCACCATTTAAATATTATCACACTACAAGCTGAGGGTGAGAGATCTCGTTGACAAAGCCGTCAGCGTCGCCGCCGGATTGGGCCAATGCGGTTTAGCAAATCAGGAAGGCCTTATCAGCCAACTTGGCAACATTGCCACGAAGTGTGGCAACATCCGGGACGAGTCTTTTGGCTTCAAGAGCTTATGGGGTTCATACAGGCAAGATTCTGGTGGTTTAGGGTGCAGGGTTTTAGACTTAGAGGTTTCGGCTTTAGAATTGAAAACGTACTCCAACGGGTATATGTTGATTCGGAATCCTTTTTAAATATTAGTATAGGGACCACGTGAATACTGAACCCGCAACCCGATTGAAAACCCCAGAGGCACTAATACTGTATGGTACAGTATTGGGATACCCAAGTATATATATATACATATGTATATACTATGCGCTCTATAGAATATGTATATGTGTATATGCATATCTGCATATATATATATATATACATGTATATATATATATATATGCACTTATAGAGATATTGCTATACTGTATTAGAATATCTATTTGTATACCAACCACTACAAGCCCGACCCAAAAGTGTTTCAAGCAAGGTATCCTGAACCGGCTTCGGTAGCTAGCCCGAACTTTAAGTCGCCAAGTGTCCAGGCTCCCCAGACTTTAATCCGGCCCAGGATCCAGCAGATGATCTTCGCATCGACGCCTTTCGATGAGTGCGAGCGGTGCATGCTTTATTACAAGGAAAACGAGCTAAAGGATCGCTTGCAAACTTATGACAATGGGTGTTTTGCAGAGTATTATGTGGTCTGTCTACGACCTATGTCCCGCAGGATTACCAACGCCAGGTTCTCGACGCTGAGGGCATTCTGGTTGGACAAGAACGCCGTTCTCTAGTTGCATTAAGTTCTTCGTAGAGCTTCTTCAGTATTCAACCTCCACTTACTTAGGTAAGGCATCTGAGAAGAGAAAGCGCGAGAAAGCTGAAGAAGAACAGAAGAAGAAACAGCAGGAGGCCGACGGCCAGCAGGATCCGGATGAGTATGCTGAAGTGCAAGAGGAGGAGGACGCTGAGATGGAAGGACAGGAAGAATGGCCGGAGGATGTGTATGATGCAGATGCTGATGAAAACGCAGCCCCTGCTGCCAAGCGCCACCGATCCTAGGCCACTCTAGGTGTTCCTTTGAAAGGCAGGCTGCTGTGAAACTTAGGATGATCGATCCGGTGTTGTTTGATCAACTCCGGCTGGGGAGCTAGGGGCGGTTTGTATAGTGCAAGCATGCTGCTAGCGGCGAAATCCCGACATAAGGCTGGCTTTGAGACCATGTTATTCTGGCCGTGGCTAATTGGATTGGCTAATTAACCAGGTGGTATCTAAACTGGCTCAGTCGGGTGTCAAGTTAGCTCTGCATGGGCTTGTCGACAAACCGATACTGTTTAACCCGGGCATAATAGCTGCCTGGGCCTCAGGGGCATTCTCGAAGCTGCTGCGATGCCAAAACATGTATCCGCCCCGGCCTCCACTGCCATTGCATGTCTTGCAGCACAGTATCGAAGCAGCAGCGATCTCCGCTTTGCAATTGCCTGAGCTTCCGCTTTCAATGCAACAGAGATCCCCGTGAAGCTACTTTATGCCCAATAACCCGTAATTACTCATTCCAATATAGTTTTCTAGAAACCAACCATTGGATGTCGATCCCCACGATAACATACTAGCTGTATAGCCCATGTAACCCCAGAGAATGCGCAACAATTCCCAGTACACACAACAAGGCATCTACTCATTCTCCCAATAACCCCGAGCATGGAGTGCGAGTCGCGATGTCCGAGAATGGAAATTGGGCCACCCAGTATGTGAAAGAAACGTGCGACGATATTCTGAAGCTGTTATCTGTTGGCCAGGCTTGGCTGCTCGCAGTTGTGCCTTCCGCGGAAATCCTCAGATCCCAATAAAGATTGCAGCAGTAGCCCAGACACACCAAAACAAACCCCTAAATTGACCAACTTATACACGAAAAACAGGCCTAAGCCCGGAACCCGTTAAGACCCTGAAGCCCGGAGACCCAAAGCCCCGATGACCCAAAGCCCCGCTTTCAAGCTAGCCAAGCACTCTCCAAGGTTCAGTTCTGTTGGTACACTATAATTGGCTTGAGGTCTAGAGCCCTTTAATTAAGGTATAAAGGTTATTATAGCAGCCGGCGCCCCACCACATCGCAGGTCCCCTTGGACCAGCTCGCCAAATCACTGGAACGTCTTCGAAGGCTTCCTCAGTGTGTGGTGCCGTGTCTTGGGAGCAACTATTGCGAGCTGCTTGGGGGAATGATGGCATTGCGATTATAGTCTATCTAAAATCTATGCTATGTTAAACCCGAGGAAGGATTTGGTAGAATTGGCACATTCTTTCATCAATCAGAATTCTTGGGGACAGCTCCGATGCCTGATTCGTTGGACTAACCGCCAGCCATGGCGAAAAATTTTGCCGCAACCATTCATGCACCCTGGCTGCTTGCGAGCTACGTCAGATACTTTGGGTTCAGACTTTCAAGCCCCGATTCGCGAGATCAATGATTCAAGGCTTCAGCTGAAAGCAGCCCCGTGGCTTCATCAGTATTCCTTCACCCCCTGATTGCAGCCGGAGTTCGGCCCAGGAATATGAAGATTCCCGCGGCAAGCGGTCTGGCCTGGTTCAACATCATCTTCTACTACCACACGAAATCCTTGGCTCCCTCTATGATACTGGAAATATCGGTATGGTGACGGGGGAGGTGACTCGCCTTACTAACGAGTGACTGTTGCACACTTGAGGTCCCTCTCTCTCTCTCTCTCTCTCTCTCTCTCTCTCTCTCTCTCTCTCTCTCTCTCTCTCTCTCTCTCTTTCTCTCTCTCTCTCTCTCTCTCTCTCTCTCTCTCTCTCTCTCTCTCTCTCTCTCTCTCTCTCTCTCTCTCTCTCTCTCTCTCTCTCTCTCTCTCGCTCTCTCTCTCTCTCTCTGAGTGTTTATTTGGGTCACCTAAATTTTAGGTGACCGACTCTGAGTGTTTATTTGGGTCACCTAAATTTTAAGTGACCGATGCTTACCCGTTTGTGTGGAGCTTTTAGCTGGCTTTTGGAGCTTTGAGCTGTCTCTCTCTGTCTCGCTCGCTCTCTCTCTCTCTCTCTCTCTCTCTCTCTCTCTCTCTCTCTCTCTCTCTCTCTCTCTCTCTCTCTCTCTCTCTCTCTCTCTCTCTCTCTCGCTCTCTGTCGCTGTACTCTCCCGACATCTCCTATTCACCGGTACATACATATAGACACACACACACACATGGCTTCGTTCTTTGCTTCTATCTATATATTCATATATACGTAGAAATCTACTCATATATCGGTTGCATGCATTTATAATTATGTAGGTTTCTCATAATATTGTATATACATGCACACATGCATGTATATGTACACATGTATCGGGCCTCTTGTTGTTGACTCGTTTTATTTGGACGCCCCTGTACCATATCTTGTTTGGCCGCCTCGTTGTTTTATCATTAACTTGAAGTTATAGATTACGAAGGAGTGTGGCCACACGGGTTTCAAGACTCATGCCGCCGAGGAAGACGATCTGCTGCTATATTGGCAGGAGCTCTCCGAGACGGCTTGGTTTCGAGAACACCCGGTTCTCAGCGCCACTAGACCACAAGTATATACCGACATGATTGATATGGGGCCTGGAAAATCAGCCGTAATGTCTAGAACATATTGCTCGATGCTTAGGCCACCGACCCCAAACACTGTATACCGCTTCGGCTATACGGAGACGGGGCAGAATCTACGAGCCACACAGCTTGATCTGGATTAAAGTGCAGCCATAAACTTGGTTCGACCTTTTTTGTATCTAAGAACACCAAAGCTTCGAGTGCTTCGCGATGCTAGCGCCCATGGCACCGGCATCGACGATGCAATCACGATTTCTGAACTTGGCTCGCATTAGAGTAGAAACAGTGAGCAGACGGTCATCGGTGATTCGTGATTAGTCCCTTAATCGAGGATCAGCTGTATGAATATGCACTATCATTCTGGCAACTGTCGCAATGCAGTCTTGGAAACATTGAAGTGGTCATTCAATGCTCTCGGCCGCCAAGCTTCGAATCATCTAATACATTCAACAATGTATAATTGTTTTCGACCCATCTATAAGGTACTGGTGTCTACCCGGCCGCAGACCCATTTGGGAATGAATTTGGGCCGGAATATATGCCACAGAGATGGAGAATGGCCGGGAAACGGATATGCGGGCCGTTTGTCGGTATATTCGATGCAGTGCAGGCAGATCTAGAGTTCGTTCGTAAAATCTTCAGCCTGCAACGAACCTTTGCAGCAATATACGTGATACAGGGAGCAACAAAAACCGTGTATATGTAGCGCTGGCCCAGGTGACTACTCGCGCAAGATGATGTGCCATTACTGCGAAGTGCCTTTGAAGAGTTCTTGCTTCAGATTAATGAATGTAAATGTAGTGACAACTGCACCACTAGCTTCGAGCCTTAAGATTGAGGCCTTGGCCTGGACATATCTACACGGCGATGATGCGCCGAATGATCCCGAGATGTTGTATACTGCCTTTGGTAGAGGAGCGGCACACAGACAAACGTGGCTAGGATATTATATCAAAGACCCCACCTTAAACACCCAAACCCCCAAAATCAGCCCTCCCATTGATGTGCGAATTGAGGCTCATATCGGGCGCAGAGGAATTCCAGGCAGTGCACGGGTCGTCACCGTTGACGCAGATCTGTGGATTCTCCCCTTGGCGTGGCATGTTCACATTTGTGTTTGATCTTCGAACTGTAGTCTAGACCGAGCTAGAAGTCACGTGCGGGTTCAGGCATCCTACCGGACGCAATGCACTTGGCTCACCTTGCAATCTTCTCCGATGTTTACATATCCTTGTTGCTGGACTTGACAGATGACTACACCAAGCGTGATATCAAGCTTTCTGAGCTCTTCGAGAATTATCGCGAATGGTGCGAATCCCAGGGCAACTGAACCATATTAGGGTTTATAATTTGGGGTTTGGGGACCTGTATATACGAGGATTAAGCCTTACCCCATCAATCCCAGGCATCAGCGACAGGGCCCGCAGGCGCTTGTTTACCAGCAGAACTATTCGACCAAACTTCAAAGAATATCGGTCGATTTCCCAGAAGCTCCTGAGCGCAGCGGCCAGTCGTTACTTGATATTCTGGTTTTCACACTACTTGTCTGGATTGCTCGCGAGCTCCCCCGACAGCACGTTTCTTCAGCTTCCAGACTCAATTATTTCTGTGTGCGCTGTTGTATGTGTTGTTGTGCACGAGAGATCTGGAGAAAGAGAGAGAGAGAGAGAGAGAGAGAGAGAGATAGCAGGAAGAGAGAGACCCGAAATGAGACCCCAACAATCTAGTACCGTGAGGAGAAAAGAAAATGTTGGTTATAGGGTATAAGTAATAAGTATACTACTACGTAACCGAATTGCAAAAGGAACGAATAGAGAAGCCACCTATATATGTTTGACGTAATCCATATGCAGCCCTAGCTTAAGTTGGAAATATCGCAATCGAAGCATATCCCAGCTGTATTTTACATATACATATATACATATACATATTTACATACACATAAATTGTAAAGTCATCTGATCGAGGTTGCGAGTTGGAGTATGCCTGGGCCTCGCCAAGATGGAGGAGCTCATGCTGTTGCACGGGTCTATCGGCTGAAATGTAGCAAATTATATTGATTAATACTTGGGTTCGGTTTCGGGATCGATTCTGAGTAGACCTAAATTAACATATAAATATTAGGATTTGATTTAATCATACAAGCCCTATAATCACGAATCATCAATCCTTAATATAGATCCTACACGTTGCCCTTGCCCTATATGGAGTTAAGGCGACTGTTGACCGGGAATGCCACACGTTTGTTCCAAGACTACTACCTGCTGTACCGTGCTGCATACAACCGACTATCGCAGCAAGCGCTAGACTGGAAGGTCACCAGGTGGCCACAGCGTCCCAAAAACCACTACTTTGAACACGCAACTTTTGATTTCACAGGGACCTCCGGTTTTGTCCTGAACATGAGATACTTCTCGAACTACCAATGCGAAGATCTGGTACGCAGGTTAAAACAACTTGCAATCAAGTCTCACCAGACATGTTTGTCGAAACATGTTGTATTCAAGTACACGCTCCAGTTTACCTTGCCGTTTCGGGATATCTGAAAAGAGAAAGTTGCCGCAGTCTGCAAGCAACAATTCGGTCGATGTGCGACTGCATGCGTCATGGATCAATGCAACACGAATGCTTTGCTGGTATATCTGCTCGAGCGACGGTGCATGTGACAATCGTGAAGTGTTAAAACCCTGGTATTAGCTCATGTTCCCAGATCGATGTCGGAGATTCTGGCTGCTTCGATCTGCAAGAACCGGCTTGCAGGTAGAGGTTTGTGGCACTGTGATATACTTGCTGAGCCGAGGCAATAATGAACATATCGCCAGGAAATGAACTTGCTGCTCCAGTTTCTGTATCTTGCTTGCACCGAAGCTCAAGAACCCAACAATAGGAATTGTTTGGAGGGTCATATTGTCATATTTTGCATCGATCGAAGAGCGCTGTTCGACCTGTTAGCTCTAAACGTGCAAGGATACATGCACGAATGAGTTCAAATGATGACCATCTGTGCGCCTGGGCGAATTTTATGTTGATCTGGGGCTTCGTATATTGGAGCTTTGAGTGGACGAGCTCGAAGCTCAGGCTTCTATACGTACCTTGTGATCGATCGAGCTACGTCAACAAGTCATCAAAAAGAAAGCGATATGCATTGCTGCGCGACGCACAAATCAAGAAGTCAGGGATCGAGCGAATCCCAGGCTATGGTTCCGACCGGTGGTTTTCTACAGATTTTGAGAAATATTTGCGATATTCTGAATATATACCACTCTCTATATAGTCTCGCTCTCTCTCTTTTTTAGAAACGACTTTTGTACAACTATTTTTTTGATAATAGAATAAGTATAAGGATGAGATATATGTGATAATAATTACCCTAAAACACGAGAACCCCTAATTGTTTGTCATGTTCGAGTGGCTCAAACCCTTTGTTTTGTGCGAGTGGCTCAAACTTCTGGACGAGTCGTTGCTGCTAAGCTGTTTGTTCATGTGTGTGGCTCAAATTTCAGTGAATATATCTGGATCAAGCCATCTTCCGCCACTGGTCGATACCTCTCGGCACACATAGTGGCTCAATTCGACGATCATCAACCATCGAGTTGACCGCACCCTAAAGTTTCAAGCTTTGAAGAATGATGGACGATATTTTAAGATCGGCTCTAGGAGCGGATCAAGGAAGCGAATAACCTATTCGCTTGCTGCTACCGATAGCCCCTTCTAATCGAAGGTTAGGAACTGTCGAACAGCCCGTGGTGGGAAGAAGATGGAGCACTAGGAACGACAGGGAAGAGAGGAGGTCCAACTGGCGACGTCTGAAACTCAGGAAGTGGCTGGTGATGCGTGGGAAAGTTACCGCCCTTCAACCAATCAATGTACTCCAGTGCTACCTGCTTATTCGAAGCGTCCACCGGGTGCAAAGCGCCGACCTCCTGTTCAAGCTGCTCCAGTTGTGCCAAAAAGCCTCCTACGATCTTCAAGTGCAGCGACTTCCTCGCTCGGCGATTGGTGCCGCTCTCGCCCCCGCGCTTTTCAGCGTTAAGAAGAAGAACGTGCTTGAGCTCCAACCGCTCCTCTGGAGTTACCGCTTTCGGCTGATGCATACAATGGCCCAAGGGCAGCAGAGTAACAGCAGCGGGGAAATCCAAGAAAATTGATGGCCGAGGGACAACTACCCGAAACCCGTATCAAGATCTCACCTAATTACCCCCGTTGGCTGCGTAAGCACGCCTCTCGTCACGAAGTCTAACCCAGTTATCCCCCGTTGGCTGCGTAAGCACGCCTCGATGCCTTGCCTCTGAAAGCTGAATCCAGATAATCTCCTTGATTACCCACTGACAACCCAGATGAACAACTGTCAACTAGGAAGACCCCCTGGCTGGCAGACTGAGAGCCGAAGGGATTTGGAATTGATTCTTTGTTTGCCTTTGGCTGTTGTGCTGTGCTGCCGAGGCAGTCTACAGCTGGGATGAGGGACTGAGGAAGCGGTTCAAAGGCCGAGCACGGGAAACACCCACGCTAACCCAAACCAGAAATCTCAATCAACCTCCAATCTCAGCGGAACTCTTACAGGAGGGTTGCTGGGATGCAATCGCACTCCTGACACGTTGCGGTTGTGTTCTGTTCTCTACTGGATCGCCTGTTGCACCACAAGGCCTGGCCTCCTTCGTCCGTGAACGGGACTACGGGAGAGGTGCTAAGGCAGGGCTTTGAGAAACCCGAAGAAGGTTACCACGCGGATGCCTGAGCAGGCAGGCGAATCACGCGGCAGATTTGGACCTCACAGATAATGTGCAAAACCAGGCTGCGATGTACGCTCTGGTTGGGATCTCAACTGTAGGGTTCTGGCTCTAACCCCAGGAGATTGACAGTGCAGGATATGGAAAGTGGGCAGGTCTTTGCTAGACCTAAAGCTCTACCCTAAGGGAGCGACACGGAAGGTGCTATGGCGTCGGTAGGATCCTACACTACCTACACCAAGCTAAGCTGAGGCTGTTAACCAGTTAATTGCAAAGCAATCAATGATTTCAAGACACGGTAGTGATCACGCTTGTTTTGTGTCTTGAGCCAAATACGTTCGTGTGCGTCAAGCTGCTCTTCATCTACCTTCTACAAGGACATCTTAGCTACATCATGCAGGTGCTTGGGGCTCGAGTATGATTAACTATATATGATATATATTATATTATAAAATACATTATATATTAATATTGTTATATGATACTGCTACTGCGAAGGACAAGCAACTTGACGATGCTGCTGCTGGTGTCGCTATGCTCAACAGGCCGATATCAAGGTGTCAGGGGCTCGCCTTCATGGTCGTACATCATTGCTGCTGAGGCTCGACATTAAACTGCAGCACTAACGTTATGAACGAAGGCAGTTATCCAACAAATCCGGACACATACTTAGGGCACTCGTTGAGATTTCGCACAACCCAGTTTTTGTATGCGTTGCCGACATGGTGGCATTCAGATCCCACGTGGGTGGCTGTTGTTGCGAAGACGGGCAGGGGCTTATTATATTAGATTTTGTACTTTCTTATATCATGTCCTATATTATCTTATATTATATTGCAATATACATATACACTTATATATTTATATTGTATAATATATTTTTTCCTCTATATTGGTATATTATAGATTTTATGCTACTTTGGAGTCGTCCAGCCTCAACGTCCCGAAGGGCTCCTGCTGCGCGGCTTCCGGGCCAAGTTGCGCCACAGGAGGAGCCTCGAGAAGTGCGTGGAAACAGGGCTTCGACATTCTGGACAAGCGGCAGAACGAGTTAAGACTTCGGCTTGGGGTATGGGGCAGATTTGTGAAAATCTGATGTATTATGTATGTATGTATGCATGCATGTATGTATGTAACTATGTATGTATGTAGGTATGTTTGTTGGTGAGCGGGTATGTAGGTAAGTAGGTATGTACATATGCATGCGTGCATGTTTGCATGCACATACGTATCTAAGTATGTGAGCATGTAAGTGTGTAGGGTGATGTAACGCAAGGTCAGGTAAGGTAACGTCAGGACCGGCGAGGTCAGGTAAGGCAAAGTACGACAAGGCAAGGCCTGCTATATATGCTGTGCACGCAGGCAGGCAGGCTGGCTGCCTGGCTGGCAAGCCGGTAAGGCCGCGTATGTATGCACGTACGCACGTATGTACATATTTATGAATGTATAGACGTATGTATGTATGCATGCATGTAGGTGTGCATGTATATTCACACAGACTCGCACACTGCGTGATTGTGCGTATGTATGCCTGTACATACACATGTTTACCCACGTATTCACACAAGCTCTGTGCTACCGCCTACATCAGACCGGTGCTTTTGTCGGTATGGAGACCTGTCGCCCCCTGTGCAGGATACGAAGATGAAGATGCATCCACCGAGTCTACACTATGCATATCACACATCTGCACACAAAAACTGAAGCACTGGGAAGAACGCTTCACGGCTGGCGAATGGCCTTGAAGTGCACTGTCTGAGGCCGTTTCGTGCAAAACTAAGAACGTCCGTAAACCACTCTCGGCCCAATAGACCCGGCCCCTCAACAGACTCAACAGGGTACCTAAGTTTTTGCACAAGACAAACCCCACAGGAACTTAGTTCCACAAGCCTTCTGTGAAGTCACAGCCGTCAAACACACATGTGATCTGAATTGGGCAGCGGCAGTTCGACGCATGATCACGGTGAAGTCCCGCTTCCTTGGCCGCAAGCTGTTTCGACAAAGAAAGCTTGGGTGGTGTTCCATCCGAGTGAGGCCCATGGACCTTGCAATAAGAAAGCCCTACAAAGCCCTGAACAATCTTCAAGTCAACCTCCGAAGCACCTTACAAACTCTCACCTCAAGCCCTAAACCTTTAACCCTAAATTCTGAAACCCTAACCCCCCAAATCCCTTAAACCCCTAAAACCCCAGATCAACTTATCCCCAAAAGGAACCTTCTAATGTAAGGGCCTTAATTGTTAGAGTAGGGTTTTAGGCGTTCCTTGCCACAATTATAGTCCTAAACCCTGAACCACTAAACCCCTAAACTCCGAAGCCCTAAACCCCTACACCCTAAACCCCTAAACCCCTAAAACCCCTAAACCACTAAACCCCTAGAGCCCCTAAAACCCCTAAACCCCTGAACCCCCCAAACCCCTAAAACCCCTAAACCCGTAAAACCCCTGAAGCCCCTGAAACCCCTAAAACCCCTAAACCCCTAAAACCCCTAAAACCCCCTAAAACCAAAGCCCCTAAAACCCCTAAAACCCCCTCAAACCAAAGCCCCTAAAACCCCTAAAACCCCTAAAACCTTCAAAACCCCTAAAACCCCTAAAACCCCTAAACCCCTAAAACCCCTAAGCCCCATTATGCTCAGAGCTCAGGCTTCGGCTCTTCGACGTCTTCCACGAAGCTGGAAGCTCTCTTCAGAGAGTCCAACCTGGCCCGTTTCTGGTTTTCGGGGGATGAGGGTTTAGGGTTCAGGGTGTGGGGCATAGGGTCTAGGGCTCAGGGGATGAGGGTTTAGGGCTTAGGGTTTAGGGGACGAGGGTTTAGGGCTTAGGGTTTAGGGGACGAGGGTTTAGGGCCTAGGGTTTAGGGTTTAGGGCTTAGGGTTTACGGCGTAGGGTTTAAGGTTTAGGGCTTAGGGGATAGGGCTAAGGGCTTAGGGTTTGGGATTTAGGGTTTAGGGATTGTGGATGAGGCTTCAGCGGTTTTCTTGAGGGGTGGATGAAGGTTTTAGGGTTTCTTGAGCTTTGAGGTTTAGAGATTCTGGCAGAGGTGGGGTTTAAGCTCTTGAGGTTTTATCCAGTGCTCAGCTTGACACTTTGTGCCTTCGTTTTTGCTTGTGTGTCTGGCAATATCATCTGTATGTGTGCCTTCTTTTTGATCTGTTTCTTCTGCTGCACACACATGAACGTAAACTATTTATGTACACAACGCTGCATGGCTCTATATACAAACATACAAACATACGTACATACGTATGTTCTCGCACTGTGCTTGAATGTGTAGATGCGTATTGCAATCTTACAGATGGATGGATGGGTGGATGGATAGATGGAATCAGCGTCTTCGTCCACTTGCCGCTGCAAGCATCCTGCATGAGAGCACCTCGGACCCTGCAACCCCTGAAACCCTAAACCTCATCCCGACCTGAAGAAAAAGAAGAAGGTGCTTTGCGGGCCCCAAAACCCTAAGCCCTAAAGAGCTTCCAGGCTTGGGACTGCTGAGAGTTTGGCCTAGGGCTTGGCTCTGGGGGTCTAGGGGTATAGGGTTCAGTGGCAATACATCCCATGTCGGGATGACCTTCTTAGCCTTAGCCGAAATCCGACGAGAAAGTCTCCTGGAAAACCTGCAGTCTGGATCAGTTAACTCAATCGCACAGTCGAACTCCATGCGATGCGCCTGTCCCTCCGCCACCGATCGTTCTGCATGTGGTCCGCTTGCCTCAGCAATAACACCAGAAACTTTGGGGACTAATGTAGGGGCCTTAGTAAGTAGAATAAGGTTTGGGTGCATAGTGTATGTTATGCGTATGTTATGCGTTTGTTATGATAAGGAGCCCCAAAACCCTATTCTTATTATTAACGCCCCTGCAGTAGGGTTGTTGCAGTTCTGCCTCGTTGCCTGAGCGAGGAACAACTGCCTGTGACCTTAACGCTGCTTGGAAAATCTCTTTGGACTCCATTTTTGCAGTGACCTGCCGTGGAAAATATTGCGCTTCTCATAAATACCCTGAACCCTAAAGTGTCGCGTCTTTGACGAAGCATGGCCCTCGCTTCTGGAGCACCTGACCTTGTGCGGGGTCTTCGATCAGATCTTGCCCAGATACCGGAATAAGTCAACCAGACAATGCCACACAAAAAGGCAAAGACGCAGACCTCCTCTAAAAACCTCAATCCATCTATGTTAAAGCTCATACAATAAATTTTAGGATCCTTGTCATCAGGACCCTTAAATCAGGTACCCCTAATTGGCGGAAACTCCCATTTCTAATGTAATGACCTCCGTTCGGGAGCCTTTGGCGTAGTCTCGAGTCACTGAGCTGCTGACTCGAGGTACCTGGCGGTCTACAGATTTCCACTACGATACAAAAGCCCCTTCCACTTCACTTCCGATCACGATGCGAGTTTCCAAGAATACCCAGTAACCTAAGAATAAAAAGGCCTCTCTTTTTGGTATTGGGTAACTTTATAAGGAACCTAGGACTACAAAAAGGGAATAAGGGTACTACTGGGCATCCTAGGTTTCAGACGACTAGATCCCCACCAGAGTCCGAAAACGTCGAATCCTTGTTGCGAAATCCCCGAAATGGTGGATCCATGCATTAGAGATTAGACAGCCCTACGTCTAATCTACCCCAATTTCAATCTTGCATGCTGAACCCATGTCTCGCACGATATCCACAGTTCCCTTTGCGGTTTAAGGGTTGTCAGGGTATAGACAGCCATGCATTTAAAGATAGGTAAGTAACCATGAGATATGGTGTGCATATGCACCATGTTTGCGTGAGGATGGGTAAGCATGCAGCTGTTTCTTTGAATGCAATCGTGCTTCGGGCATAGGGTTTCGCATAGCTTCAGAAGCTCCAAAACTGGCTGATTTGTGAATATCCTTGAAAGCGCTTTAGGGCTTCACAATAACACAAGGGACACCTGGGAATCTCTAGAAACCGCTCTCCCGAGCCTTCCACAAAGCCACCTGAAATCCTAGGGCGGCTCTGCACCTTGAGCCACACACACCCCTAACTAAAACCTAAGCCGTAAATCCAAAGCCCTAAAGCCTCAAGCACTAAACCCCTAAACCCTGAATCCAAATAAAACGACAATGTTGCAAGCTTGAATCCCTAAAACCCTAAATAAACCCTTTATTGACCCTAAATCTGAGAACCCCCTGCGAGAAACAAAGAAATTCCAAAGAGCGACCAAAAAGAAGGGGACCATAGCGGACTCTAATATAAACCCCGATTAGGATCCTAGGTCTGGGACTTCAAAACCGGCAACCGAATTGTAAGAATCGCTCAGACAACCTAAAGCTGGGATCACTGATAGGACAGGTCCGTCTGCTGGGCTGTGTCGCTCAGGTTCAGCACCACCTACTTCCAGAGTTTACCAAGGTGTAGGGCTTCCCAAGGTTTCGGGGCTTTGGGGTTTAGACTTTCTGATCTTACTGCGAACACCTCGAAAGTTGGCTGAGGGTATCCGGCTGGCAGTCCCTACAAACATGACATTATACGGAAGTTTCCGAACATTGGGGCACCTTATTTTGGAGTCCTTATATCAAGGATCCTACTATTTAGGGTATTATATTCGGGTCCCCTATTTTCGGAAACTCGCATACAGGCATGAGGACATGATGCTCCAAGTTGCTGGCAGGCTCTACTACATAGGGGCCGTGAGAGCTGGACACGTGTTTGCGGGTTCTAGCTTACAAGAACTTTAGAGGAGTATGAAGGGGTAGTATCTTGGTTCGAAACCCCAAACCCTGCACGCTAAACCCTAAACCCTAAACCCCATGTCGCAGACCTTGAACTTTACTCCACTGGGACGAACCGCTCCCATCACACGACAAAACCTACAAGGACATGGCTAGTTGCTCAAAGCTTCGAAGCCACAATCTGGCAGAGTTTAGAGTTTAGGGTTAAGGCTTTAGGGATGTTTAGGGTGTAGGGTTTAGGGCTTGGTTTAGGGTTTGGGGTTTAGGGTTTACGGTTGGGGCTTGCGGGTCACAAGAACAGCATGGCGCTAACCCTTAAAACTGCAAGCGTGGAAATGCCGCTGCGACATCATCACCATCATCATAAGCCCCGCGAATCAACATCAAGGCGAAAGCCAGAATCATAATCAGACTGATAGGCACGAACTGACCACATATATACATCTCGTCATCATCGACAACGTCATCAGTCCCATCACCCAATCACCCGTAGGCCTGCGTGCCAACTTCAGCAGTCTGCCTGACGGCACCGACAGCATGGAGGTTTAGGGTTTAGGGTATAGACTTGTTGAAGTAAAACCAAACCCCGATCCTAAACCTAAACCCTGAACAAAAAGACTTCAAACCCCAATCCTACACTTAAACCTTAAACCCCAAACAAACTGGCCCTGTGCATGGAAGCGCGTAGCAGATTATATGTTGGAGCAGAAACCCGAAATCCATAAACCCCACATCCCTTGCCGAAGCGCCCCCTAACAGGAAAGATATGCTAGCTACGTTGGGTGGGGCTTCCAAACTTAGGGGGCTATGGTTTTGAGAGCAGGAGCTCCTTTTGCTTCCATTCCATACTTGGAGGGTCGGGGGACTTAGTAATGGTACTTATAAGTCCCTAAAATAACCAGTTACGAAGTCCCCCGACCCTCCAAGTACCATAAACTTCAGAAACAAATCTTCGAGCGTGAGCTGCCAGGCGTGAAAGCGGAGTTACAAGTTCATGACGTCCGGAATGTGAGAAACTCCAATAACAAATTGCAGGTGGGGCTATTTTGCAGCACCCTGAATCCTAAAAACATTCATACAGCATTCACCTTAGTTCGCCCAAAAAACCCAAACCCCCAATTTTGTGGCCCCGAATCAAGGCCTGCCCCCCAAAACCCTGAAACCCCCTAAGTCCCAAACCCCTTGGCCTCAAACCCTGAACCCTAAACCCTAATTCCCAAAACCCCCTACCTTGCCCTCAAACCTGAACCCTAAACCTAAAACCCAAATTCTCAAACGCTTCCTTAACCCTGAATAACCTACTAGTACCTTTTTAGGGTTCCTTATTATGATTTCCTTATAGAAATCCTTACAAAGGTAGGTTATTCCGGGTTAAGGTTTGCCCTCAAAACCTGAACCGACCTCGTGAGGCTGGCAACCAAACGCTGGATCTCCATCTTCGCTTGGGCCTCGGCATCTGAACAGACTTGATAGGGCTCCTTTAAAGGAAGTCTATAAGGGTTTAGGGTTTAGGGTGGGAGTATCCCAAAATAGGGGACCCTAATATAGTACTCTAAATAATAGGATCTTTGTTCTAAGGACCCCAAAAAGGTAACCCTGATTTTCGGAAACTCCCCTAGGGCTCCTTCAAAGCAAGTCGATAAGAGTTCCTTTAAAGGGGGCCGGTGAGGATTACTATAAGGGATCTATAAGGGTACTATAATATAGGGGCCTTAAGACTTCGAACAGGGTTATAGGTATGTGATACCACAATTATAATAGGGAGCCCCCCAAATAGTAGTGGTAACGATTTAGGCCCCTAGTTTACCGTTACTACAGGGATTGTTGCCGTCTTTTGCTTTTCGTGCTCGTGAGTTTTGCAGGCCAGGGTGTGTAAGTCTTTATCGTTGTCGCCCCTTTTTGCTCGCGCCCCGCGTACCTTGTCCCTAGAAATGTTATTGCTGTCCACCCCTGGCGTCCAGAGTGCTTCTTTTGTTTTTTGGTTGCACGCCGCTGGGCTCCACAACCTTAAATCGGCAGTGCCGGAGCAAAAAAGAAAAACAGCCACCTCCCAGGTTATGCTTTTTTGCTACGCCCCGCTGGGCTGCACAACCTTTCGGCGGGGCCGGGAAAAAAAAAAAAACAACAACACCTAGCCGAACCCGGCTAGCAAATACAAAAACGTCTGGTCTACTATATCGGTTCTAACAGGACCCGGCGGCGGGACAACAGCAACAAAAGAAGCTACTTCCCTGTGAAATTGATAGTGATAGACAATTTCCTTACCCTTGTTATACATATAGCAGCATTATGATAACCATTGCCGTCATTGCTGTGGGTACTATACATACTACTGTTGATGAACTGGCAATAGCAGCAGCGGCAGCCGCCACAGCAACAAGAGTCGTCGTGCTAGCTTGACCGCCACTGCTCCTGCTGCTGCAAGTGCTACTCATCGACGTTACATTGGTACTGCTTCGACTGACATGGCCAAGACGACGAAGGTGCCGAGGCCACTCCTTAAACATTCGTTTCTCTATCGCCAAGACAAAACCGCTGAAGAAGTGCGACTCAGAACAAAAACCTTCAAACCCTTGTAACCCTAAAGACCAGAAATCCCAAAGCCCCAAACTCCTATGCCCCAAGAACCTGAAGGTCCTGAACCCGCAAAGCTGTTGAATACCCCTGAACAAGCCTTAAGAAACAAAAAAGCACGGAGTAAACCCTCAAACCAGAACATAAAGCCTAAACATAATATCCCATTCTCAGGCAGACGCCAGCTGTCTCTCGAGGCTTGCTTTCACCTCCTGAAAGACCTGCCCAGAAACTTTGAGGTTGCGGGCTTCAAGCCATGAAGTGCATAGCTGATGGGGTCCTTTTTTTTGAAAGCTCCTAGCTGATGGGGTTCTCTTTTTTGTTCAAAGCTCCTGGCTGATGGGGTTCGAGGCTTTGGGTTTTCAGCCATCAAGTGTGGAGCTTGTATTTAACTAGGGCTCGAGGTTCCGGAGCCCAAGTTGAAGGTTCAGGGTGCGAAGCCCATGTTTGGAGGCCGGGAACCCCGAATATGCACTGTCAGGGTTTGGAATTTGGGCTTCGGGATTTCTGCTTCGGAGTTGCCATGCCGAGCAGCAGTCGAAGCGAAAGTACATCATGCTCAAAACCCGATCTTATGTTCTAAGCCCTTTCCTAAGACTTGAACCCCACCCTCTGCCCCAAACCCTAAACCCTGAAACCCAAACCCTAAACCCCCAAACCCTGAACCCTGAAACCCTAAACCCTGAAACCCTAAACCCTGAACCCTGAAGCTCTTGGCCGATTCGGTTTCGCCTCCAGAGACGGTTGGAAAGGGTGGTGGGGGGGACCTGCTCTACTGTATCTCTCTGGGTTCATAGTGCGATGGTATAGCACACCCCATAAGTCCTACTATGCTTAGAGTTAATATTCCATGTAGTAGGGTTTTTCGGCAAGGTTCGTTGTGGAGCCGTGGGGCGTCTCGCCGGGGGGCTTTGAAGCTTTGGTGCAGGCTCTGCGTGCTGCTGTTGGCTTGTGCGAGGGGGTGTGGAGGCTCGCATGAGCAGGCTCTTGCTTTCACTTACTTCAAAATATAGAGAAGTCGTGGTGCGGAATGATTTTCGGACTTGCTTAGAGCCCAAGCCGCCAGAGAAACAGGTCGACTAAGCTTCCTGGGTTAAAGGTTTCATGGCTTCGGATCTTTCAGGGCTTGGCCAAGACGGCCGTATAGCATAGTAGTTATAATGCAGGGTATTATACTACATTGCAGTATAGCATAGTAATTATAATACAGGGTATTATACCACATTGCAGTTTAGTAGAGCACATTGCATTTAGGGACACGTCTTGGATGCACCTCTGTGCTGACACGGATGCGCTCGTACCTGGAGCAGCAAGGCTATGTAAGCCTTCCCCAGGCTCCCCTCACCAGTTCGAAATTTACGTTTCAGGGTTCAGGGCTTAAGAGTCCCTAGACCCTAAACCTGAGGGTTTAAGCGTCCCACGTACGGAATCCGGCACCTCCTCAACCTGAAGCGTCCTGGCAAAGCGAACAAGAATCCTGCTAAGTTTAGGGTTTGGGGTTTCGAGGTCTTACTGCTCTTTAGGCCCCAGCTTGGTTAAGAGATGCCTGTACTTACCTAAACCCTAAACCCCAATCCACTACAAACCTAAACCCCCAATCCCTCAATCCTGGATACATAAACCAAACCCTCCAAAGCCCTCCCTAGTGCCATACCACCCATAGAACCATAATGAAAATAGAGTTGCTAAATTTTTCTTGGGTAAATATACATGAACAAAAACAGAAAAAGGGATACGCTAGTGTCACTAGACCCCCGTAGAAACATAATGAATGAAGAATCCTCACAAGACTATATCATAAGGACCCTTAGGGGGGTAGGGGGAGGGTGTAAGGGGCCTTAAAAACCCAAAATCAGGGCTGAAAAAGGCCTGTTTGAGGAAGTATAGGCCCCTTCCCCCCTCCTCCCCTACCGCCCTCAGGGTCCCTATGGCTATAGAGAATCTGATCAAGAAACCCTGGGCCTCTAACCCCAAAATAGTAGGATTCACATCCTACTATTTTGAGGTTGTAGTCCCAGGGTTTCTTAGTCAGGTTCCTACATTACAGAGGTTGGAACCCTTTAACCCTATATAGATCCCTTTAAAGGAACCCTACTTATAACCACTCATGACCCTCCAAGTATGGCCCTTATTGACCCCTTTTGAGGCACCCTTGTAGAACCCTTCTAGACGCCTTTAAAGGCACTATATCACAGAGTTGATAAGGGTCCCCTGTGGACGGGACCCCTGTGGTTGCATTTGCCCAATGGGGCCCAATAGGGCCCAATGGGGCCTAATGGGGGCAAATGGGAAAGCCATTGGGCCCCATTAGGCCCCATTAGGCCCCAGTGGACAAATCCAACCCACAGGGGTCCCGTCCACAGGGGACCCTTATCAACCCTGTGACTATATGGGAGTTTCCGAAAATAGGGGACCCTAATATAGTACCCCAAGTAGTAGGATCCCTATTATAGGGACCCCAAATAAGGTACCCCTAATTTTCGGAAACTCCCATATCTATAGGAAACTTTACCTTAAACCCTGAACCCTAAACCCTAAACCCTCTATATCTATAGGAGGCTTTAGTGCTGGAGCCAGTCCGGGCCGAGCTGCTGCATCTGGGCATCCTCCCGGGCCAGGCTCGCGTGCTCGACGTCCGGAAGCACCTTGGTGCGACCGGTTTAGGGTTTAGGGTTTAGGGGCTGAGGGTTTGGGGTATAAGGTTTTTGAGGGTTTGGGGCAGAGGGTTTAGGGTTTAGGGTATAGCGTTGAGGGTTTTTGGGGGTTAGGGTTTCGGGCTGAGGGTTTGGGGTAGGGGGTATAGGGTTCAGGATATAGGGTTTAGGGTTTAGGGTGTAGGGTATAGGGTTTATGGTTCAGGGTGCAGGGTGCAGGGTTCAGGGTTCAGGGTTTCGGGTTCAGGGTATAGAGGTTAGGGTGTAGGCTTCAGGGTTTCGGGTATAGGAAATGGGGATGTGGATATAAAGGGGCCTTCATCGTTGGAACGGGATGCTTTCGGATTTTGTGATTCTACGATAGTGCCCTCAATAGTTAGGACAGGGTTTTGGCATACAGCTAAGATATGAGGGTAGTAGGGAACATTAAGAAATGGCATAGGTATTCCATACAAGTATTTCATGCAGGGTTTTCGGGGTGCGTGGAGTTTGAGGCATTTCGGGGGTGTCAGCTGCTTAGGTGAGTCGTTTCGGCTTTGAGGGGGCTTAGTTTCGGATTTCTTTCATTTAAGCGCTTGGGGTTCAGGCTCAGGTCTGCCAGCTACTATCCGCGGGAGGACCTTTCCGGGTTGCTTCGGTTGATGATATAAATCCTGCATTACCTTGAGGACCCTAAACTATGGGAATTCTGGTATATTCCTTACTATGTGTCATGCAGGATTTATATCATCAACCGTTTCGGGGTTGTAAGCCTATGAGCAAGGTCTCTTGGGATCTAGGGCCCACGGAATTTTGCGTCTCTGTTTCAGCCGTCAACATTGGACTGGTTGCCTGCTTTCTTTGCCCAATGCATGTCTCATAAAGCTGGAACCCACTGAACCCTAATCCAACCTTCAAAGTCGTAAAACCATGAACCCTGAAACCTGAAAGCACTCTAATGTAGGGGCCTAAATAACTAGAACAGGGTTATGGGGTCCATTATACTATACCTTTAATAAGGAACCCCCAAAATAATGTACGTAATTATTTAAGCCCCTATACCATAGAGCCCAACTACAGATCCCTTGTAGACCCCTTTAAGGAAACCTTTAACTGAACTCAGAGGATGGTATAGGTAGCTTTTTATCCTTCAGAAAACCGGGTAACCCGGAATCAGATCCTAAATCCTTATATAGTAGAAGCCAGAAAGTTGGAACATGACTCTCCTCATGCCCTTAAGGTAAAGTATAAGGGATCCTAGCACGAATCCTCCTAAACCCATGTTCCAACTTTCTGGGGTTCACTGTAATCGCCGTCATAAATCCCTTTAAAGGAACCCTTATAGAACCCGTATGACCCTATGAGGTACCCTTTAAAGGCCCCAATACTACCCCCTGAACCCGGTAGAACAGCCCTTGGGTCTCCCACAGCATCGAGCCTTGCCTTCCACATGTCCCGCCTCGGTTGGCCGAGCCACCGCCGAAGGAGCTCCAAAGTACACATATGGGAGATTCCGAAAATTAGGGGTACCGTATTTGGGGGTCCTTATAATAAGGATCCTACTAAAGAAGCTGCTATATCAGGGTCCCCTTTTTTTGGAAACCCGCATATGCCGTCGATTGCATTTTAGGGTTTAGGGTTCAGGGTGGTTGCCTCCGTGCGTCCGGGAGCCAGAGGCAGCCTTTTGGTGGTTGTGCTCAGCTTTCCGGGGTTGGCAAATGTAGGCTTGCGCATAGGGTTTAGGGTTCAGGGTTTAGGGTTAGGCACGCATAACATGCAATGTGTACGTTCTTTGCATCCGTGCTTTCGTGGATTCAGGCTACATGACAGCATTGCCGTCAGTCTAAACTAACTGAACCCGAAGGCTAAGCACCCAAACCCCTATTTAGGGTTTAGGGTGTAGGGTTTTTAGGGCTTAAATCTTAAATCCCCAGGCCCGAAAGCCTTAACGGCGAAGATTGAAATTCGCAAATCCCGAAACCCGACCTCTGAAACCCTAAACCGGAAACCAGCAAATCCCTAAACCCCCGCAATCGCTAAACCATAGATCCGCAAATCCCTAAACCCAAAACCACTGAACCCTAAACATCAAATTCCTAAACCCTGAATCTAAACCCTGAACCAAATTTCCAAACCCTAAACCTCGAACCCTAAACCCCCAAATTCCTAGACCCTAAACCACTAAACACCAAAATCCCGAAACCCTAAACCTTAAATCCTGAATCTCTGAACCTCCAAATCCCTAAACCCTAAAGCTTAATTTCCTGAACTCCAGATCCCTAAACACAAAACCTCCAAAACCCTAAATACAAGTGGGAGTTTCAGAAAATAGGGGACCCTAATTTGATACCCTAACTAGTAGGATCCTTCTTATGAGCACCCCCAAAATCAGCGACCCTATATTTTCGGAAACTCCCAGGTAAAAATCTCAGCTCCCGGCTTTTCCTCGGCCACCGTCACGGACTGCTGGAGACTAAGAATGCGAGCGTCTCGCTTCTGCACCCTGGGCGGTTTAGGGCTTAGGGTTTAGGGATGTCGAATTACAAGATCAAGGGGGAAATTTAGGGTTTGGGAAGCCGGGTTATGAAGAAAAGGACTTTGAGTTTTGGGGCTTGGTGCCTATAAGGCCAAAGGTGTAGGGTTTTGGTGGTTTTGGTGTCTACAAGGCTAAGGGTGATGTAGCCATCAACGGGTAAAAGGAGGGACCCCTAATAAGGACCCCTAGGTATATACCCATAACATAGCCATCATATATCCATTCTGTAGCCCATTGTAGGGTAGGGGTCCCCGTTAAGGGTCCCTCCTTTTCCCCTTTGAAGCCAGGAGGTTTTGGTCAGAAAGCTTGTAAGGTTGAGGGCCTCGGTTGGAGACTCATGAACACTCTGCATGCGACGTCCTCTTTGCCACATCCAACCAGCCTATCCCATCCTCCAACTGGATCTCCGGAAAGCTCGAGAAGGGTATAGCTGTGGGTGATTTTTGGGCTACATTGGGTACGGACCCCACTCAGTAATAGTTGACTCATATTCATAATGTAGATATATTAGGACCTTAAGAGTAGCCCTAGTATAGACTACACTTATAAGTTGAATCCGAGATCAAAGCCGTATCAAAGCCTGTTGTCTCTCAGGTCTTTCAGCCTATCGGACCCGGGAGATGCATCGCACATTCCACGCACCAGATCGGGGCTCCGGGCCCTTTTTTTGAGCCCCTTTTTCACCCAGCAAGCCAGTCTGCCAGACAAAGGCCGCATAGGCCAGGGTGGGCTGGCAAGCAGGGTTCAGGGTCTACTTAGAGGATCATGGGACTTAGTAACTAGGGTTATGACTAGGGTAACTCTACTTATAGCTACTTATAATCCCAATTAAGGTACTTATAACCCTACTTACTAAGTCCCATGATCCTCCAAGTAGGGTTTCGGGTTCAGGTTTTGGGGTTTGGGGTTCAGGGACCTGCAGCAGCTGCACTTACAAACGTATCGCACAGAAGACCCTGAACCCTAAACCCTAAACTCCTACCTAAACCCCAAAGGCCTGCAGCCCATAACCCCTAAACCCCCTAAGCCCTCAAACCCCCTAAACCCCCTTAAACCCTCTCAAACCCCCTTAAACCCTCTAAGCCAAATCCTCTAAACCCTAAACCCCCCGCCCCCAAAAAAAAACCTAAAGCCTAAATCCCCCTAAACATCCCTTACACCTTCTAAAACCCCCTAAAGCCCCTAAAACCCCCCTAAAACTTCCTAAGTCCGAAACCCCCCCTAAAAAAAACCTTTAAACCCTCTAAACCCCCCCCCCTAAAACACCCTCCTCGTTTGAGGCTCTGACTCGACTTCAGCTCGCTTCGCTCGCTCTTCGTTTTGGTCCGCCGACTCCTCAGAAAAAACACGGTTTAGGGTTTAGGGTGTCTCGCCGGGCAGCGGCAGTATGTTCCATGTAGGACGGCGCCCCAACACTCCCAGGGGTGTGGGGGGCGGCATATCCACGTCTAGTACCGGAACGCGATTCACCACATAACAATTACAAATTGGTTTATATTTTCCCGCCCGCTGTGAGCTTGCGACTACTGCTACTGCTGCTTCTAGTGCTGCTACTACTGCTCCTCCTACTGCTTGCGTGAGGAGATTTCAGCCTGACCAAGCAGGAATACCGCTGCCACTCATCGGCGGTGTGGGAGGTAAGCGGGACCGGGACAACAGGGACAACTGCTCAACTAATCTGACATATTTCGATAGCTACAACAACTAATGGAAGCGCTTCTGTATGATGGTGGCGCTGATACTGCTGCCGCGGATTGAACCAGAAAACTTACGTAAATGCATGAAGACAGCCACACTACCACAGAAAAACCCTCAATTCTCTTCAAAGTCACTACAGCCGCGCAAGATTCCGTGTGTCCTGGACCACGTCCATCCTTGCTTTCAGGCCTTTGACCTGAGTAGGGGCCTTAATAATTAAAATAGGGTTTAGTGTAGGGGGCCATTATTAGGAGGGAGCCCCCAAAACCGTACTGGTATTTAAGCCCCTAAAGTATGCTTTCCTTGCAACTGCAACCACTGCATGGGAAGGAGTCCACCCATCTTGAGATACGTTCCTGCATGGACGCAGCCTGCATGTATACGTAAAACACAATGTAAACGTGCACACTCGAGCGTGCATGTGTACGCAACCATGCAAGCAAGCCAACAAGAAAGCAATCAAGCAGGCATGCATTGATGCATTGAGAGATGGAGCAAACGATAGATGGATGGATGGATGGATGGATGGATGGATGGACGGACGGATGGACGGATGGATGGATCGATGGATGGAATCATAGATGGACGGACGGATGGACGCAAGGATGCATGGATGCATGCGTGAAGCTAATGTAACTTCATGTAATGCACGTAGTATGATGTACTGCGATGTAACGAAATGATGATACGGTATGCAAAGCACATGTCTGCCCAAACCCGGATCCGCGTATCTGTAACATAAATCCGAAACCCTAAGCCTTAACCCCGGCGCGGCTACGCTTGCTTTCGCGGTTCTGTACTAGCGAACGGGACACGGAGATGCCTTCCCAACCCCCCAAAAGCGGCTTCAGAAACTCAAAGTCCCCAAATGAGGGCTTTCCGAAAATAGGGGACCCCAGTATAGTACCCTAAGCAGCAGGACCCTTCTTGTAAGAACCCCAAAATAAAGTACCCCCTTAAAAATCCGAAACTCCCAAAGATCGGACCACAGGGGCGGATGAGACACGGTTTAGGGCTTGGGGCTTACTTAGAGGATCATGGGACTTAGTAAGTAGGTTATAATTGGGATTATAAGCCCCCTAAGTGGGGTTATCCTAATTATAACCTACTTATAACCTTACTTACTAAGTCCCATGAGCCTTCAAGTAGGGTTATCGTATGAGTTTTACAAAGGGGGTGTTCGGGGATGAGGGAGCGCTCTCCCGGCGCATGGAAAAAGCTGGCATTACTTGGAGGTTCAGGGGTAGTTATAAGTGGGGTTATAAGTCCCCTAATATAGGTTATAAGTATAGCTACCCTACTTAAAATCCTACTTATAACTACCGCTGAACCTCTAAGTAGGCACCTCGAAAACCAAAATGCAAAAAGTCCGAAATCCCGACTATGCCAAATCCCGCTGCGACCTTCTTCTCCAGTTCGCGGGTTTAAGCATTCAGTAGTTCAGAGAGACTTGGCACTTCAGGGGCCAAAGGGACCAGCCTATGTATCGAGTATTGCTGTAGTATGATCTCGAACAACATGATTGCAATACCAGGGTGCTCACTACTGTGTCGTGCAATGGGTACGAAAGCGGCCTGAACCCTGAACCGCTAAACCCTAAAACCCAAACCCGGACCCTACACCGCCGCCTGCTCCTCAAGGTGAGCCCGCTTCATTTTCTCAGCTTCCTTGTGCGAGCTTTTGGGCTGTGGGGGAGTCGTCTGGCTGGGCGTACGAGGGTCACTATATGGGCCTGATGGGTTCCTGTTAAAGGGGTCGAAAAGGGATCAAAAATAGGGTTCTATAATATAGGGGGCCTTAATAATTAGAATAGGGTTTTGGGGCCCAGTATACTATAATTATAAGAAGGAACCCCCCTTGAAGAGCTTTGGTAGTGTAAAGGCCCCTATAGCATGTGGGGGTTTGCTTCGGTTTTTTGGGGTTTGGGTTTTGGGCTCAGGGTTTCGTGTCTGGAGCATCTTCAGCCCAAGAAGGGATCAGGGCAGTTGCGTTAAATCCCAGAGCTCTGAGTTTAGGGCTTAGGGTTTAGAGGGTAAACAGTTTAGTAGGTTTAAGGGTTTAGGGTTTAGGGATGCCCCTCAGCAGTACATCCTTCAAGTATCCAAGTCCGAAGCCCTTGAATGTCCCAGAGTTCACACTTTAGGCATTCCGGGCCTCCACATCTTAACACCTCCGAAGGAACTCACATGTAATGCTTGCAGCGGGTCGGGTTTACTAAAATCTCTTAAACACAACATAGCAGCAGCATGGTTAACAAGCATCTGGGTGAAGATTATGACGATAGAGATGTGATTCCTAACCACGACCCACTTCGGATTCTATACACTAGGGGTTTAGGGGCCAGGGATCCGGATCCAGGGATCCTAACACTGACCCGAAACTCAGGGTATAAGGCTAAAGCTTAGGAACCCAAAGAGCCCTTCTTCGGATCCTAGGGTTCGCTGTAAGATCCTGTAAACTAGAACATCTTAAACCCTTACCCCTAACACCGAACTCCTGCCTTGGGATTTCGAGCTCAGGGTGTATACGTGACAGGGCTTAAGGGGTAAGATAACAGAATAGAATAGGATCATATACTATAGACTATACTGTACTATACCATACGATACTACATCATACGATACTAAATTATACTATATTATACTATATTATACTATATTTTCTGTCATACTCCGTTATGCTATCTCCAGCCCAAACCCTTACGAGGCCTTGGTCTTCTCATCCTCCCGGAGGCAGATGTGAGATCGGAGGTCCTGCGGTTTAGGGTTTAGGGTTTAGGCGGGGCAGTCTTACGGCCTTAACAAGCACGCACAAGAAAATCATTCGAATACGAACACGAACATGAGTACTAATGACCAAAATAAGAACGATAAGAAGAAAATGATGAGAAGAAGAATAGAAACTAGATCTTGTGGCTTGTCCTTGGCTGGCTTGAGGGAAGTTACCCGCTGTTACTCTTGAGCTGTAAAGATTCGGCCCTTGTGTTTGTCAGGCGGCTGTGGTGCAAAACATGCTTTGGCGTTTAGACTCTTGGGTTTTAAAGGCTTGGGGATTTAGATGTTAATGCTATGCGGTTTAATAACGTCTTCTAGTCTAACTGGTAATCCTGAACTGGGAGGGCATGCGTTTGCAGACCTTATAGGATTGAACTCCTGTGCTGGTAGTGCCCTTCTACATGGGGAAACTAATTCTTCCGACCCCCGAATTACTGTTTAGGGCGTAAACCGGGGGTACTTAGTTTCGGGGTCTATGTCTTAAGTTTTACGACTTAAGGCTTTTCGGGCTCAGGGGCTCAAAGGCTGGGAAATCGATGTTCGGCCGTGGGCCGGTTTAGGCGCTAGGTTCAGGATCGAAGCTGGCGACGCCTTGTTTAAGGGTCCTGGTAATGAGGATCCGAATACTTCTGGTCCATACTTGCGATCTGAAGCGACCTTGTTTACTGGGAAATTTAACAAAGCCAGAATCAGATGACGAAATGGGGGGGAAAGCTCGAACTCAAGCTTTCGGTGCATATACTACCCTGCGTACACAGACGTTCTCAGGCAATTGTGTGCTTGAAACTCACGAAGTCTCCCATGCAAACTCGATACACACCACAGGGCGGAGCCCAAATTCCGCTGAAGCCCTAACCCCAAACCCTAAACCCTCTAGATCCCTTGTATAAACCCTTATAGATCCCTTTAAAGGTGCCCCTCGACCCTAAGCCCCAAGCCTCGAGCCTAGAACACCGAAGGTCTCGCCAGCAGCTCCCGCACCATTTGGGAGTTTCCAAAGGTAGGGGACCCTAATATAGTACCCTACATAGTAGGACCCTTAGTCCAAGGACCCGAAATAAGGTACCCCTATTTTTCGAAAACTCCCACTGAATCCCTCAGGCAGCTGATGTAGGCCTCAATACTTAGAATAGGGTTTCTTTAAGGGATCCTTCACCGGGTTCCTTGAGGGATCTTTTAAGAAGGTTCTATAATATAGAGGCCTTAATAATTAGACTACGGTTTTGGGGCCCATTGTACTATCATTGTACTACAACTATAACAAAAAAAACGCCCAAAGTAGTCTTGCTAATTATTTAGGCCCCTATAGTAAACCCTGAGCCTGAAACGACTAAAACTCCCAAACGACAAACCTTATTATAAAACCATTAAACGTAGAACCCTAAACCCCTAAACCCTGAACGCAAAACCCTAAAACCCTAAAACCCTAACACCCTAAACTCCTCAGAGCAAAAAAAACTCAACGCCGGAAGCTCCAAGCCCTCCACTCCTCGCAACAGTGGCTGTACTGCTCCAGCCGCTGCTCCATGCTCTTCTTGGCGGCCGTGTAGGTATCTTGGAGCCTGGCCGGAGATGGAGTCTCCGCTAGGCTGCTAATATTAGGGGCCTTAATTATTAGAATAGGGTTTTGGGGGATATTATGCTATAACGACTATGAGAAGGAACCCCAAAATGGAAAAGGTAATTATGAAGGCCGCTACATTACCAGGGTTCCATGAAGGCTCTAGAAGGGTCTCTATTGCTGCAACGACACTTCAGGGTGGTCTGCAAACCATGCTATCTTTCTCATGGAGGCCAGACTGGAGATAGCCGGCCCCTCCTTGTACGCCGGGTAGTCTTCACCATGTGCCGTCGCCGATCTTCTCCATTGTCTAAGGAAGTTTCGGTAAGACACAAACGGGAGCTGTTTCCTGGTCCTGTTCTGACAGAACAGGTACGGGGTTGCCTCAGAGCACGGCTAGGTTATGGTTCCACGGGGATGGAACATGAAAGATATCGCGTGCACTCCAGCACGTTGGCACTTCTCAAACTTCAAACCGTAAGAAGCCAATGCCCCACACACCAGAGTTGAACATGTCATTCAGCCGCCACCCCAGCAAACCCTGTAGGGTTTCTACGAACCGTATTCGCAAAGTTATCTTTTGTAGAAGACAAGCAGTTGCCAACTACCGCCTGAAATGCGCCGTGTTCCTGGTTATCATGAACCAATCAAGGCTGCCAATGAGGTCAACAGTGTCAACAGATTTCCGCATCGTTATCTTCCTGATCACAGCCTTCACTGCTGTCGGCCGTCGTCATCGCTGTCCTCACGCGCGGATATTTTATCAACATCATGGCCAAGCCGCTCAGGGCAATGCATCTTCGTCATCAACACCATCATGGTCAGAAAAGCCACAACCCCGTCGTCATCAGCAACATGGACATCAGCAGCAACAGTTTCATTGTCATCCTGACCATCTGCAACAGCATCCACAGACCATCTGCCGCAGCCTCCACATCTTTGTCAACCCTTCTCTTCCTCATCATCACCGCGAACAGCAACGACATACTCGCCATCCACATCTTGGTCACCACCTTTTGCGCCATCGTCATCATCATCATCAGGTGCATGAGCTGCGAAACTGCCATACTAAGACTACTACAGCAGCTCTTCAAGCCTGGAAGTGCGTGTTTGCCATAGCCCCAAGGGCTGTGCAATGCCGCTGGCTGACTTGCAGTGGATCCTGTTCGGATAGAGCGGACCGTGTCATGCATGCTCAAACGAACTGCTGCGCAGATGTATCGGCAACACAAACAAACGCCAGCGTTCTCGGACAAGTGGTGGCCTTCGCACATCCAGATTCCGGAAACACTGAATGTTCAGCTGCTTTTTGTTTCCTGGTTCGATCCGACTGATCGGCTGTCAGGCCCACGAACACACGAAGTTCGTTCATGGCACGAATTGCCATTGCTGTCTGAGCCGTACAACGTGAAGAATCGTCAGAATTTTGAAACCCATCTTCCCTCGCAACACCTTGTGAAGCGCTTGCAAAACTCGTCTGAACTTTTCAACAGTGCCCCCCCCGGAGTATGGCTGAACCCCGCACACCAGACCCTAATAAACCCTAAAATTCCAAGCCCTAAACCATAAAGCTCAAAACCCCAAACCCCAATGAGCCATGTGAATCACCAGCGTGGCTGTTCGGATGTTACATATGCCGGAAGCCCCAGTCCCAAATCGAAGCCCCAAAACCAGAAACCCTAAGGCTTCAACCTTCATAAACAGGCGTTGGTAAACAAAGCGTCATCTGCGAAACCCTGAACCGAAGCAAGTCCTAAGGCGATCCTAGGATACCCCGTAACCTAGGAATAAAAAGGCCTCTCTTTTTGGTAGTGGGTAACTTTATAAGGAACCTAGGGACTAGAAAAAGGGAATAAGGGTACTACTGGGCATCCTAGGATCTGCAAAGGCAGGTCCCGACAGCCCCAAATCCAAGAACCGCAAATCCGAAGCCCCACCGTCCTAAACCCAAACCCCCTCTGGACCCAAAACCCTCTCAGCCCTGAACCCCTGACCCCTAAACTCAAACCCGACGTTCCGAAACCCGGAAAACATTAAACCCGGAAAACCTTAAACCCTAAACCCTAAACTGGCTGGGCCGACTCCGCCATCTTCCTGGCGGCCTCTTCCCTCTCGCATTCGAGGAGCATCTGGATCAGCTCTTTGCCGCAAGAAGCTCGGTTTCCGGCTTCGGGTCTAGGGGTTTAAGGGTTTCGGGCTTCGGGTTTGGGGTTTCGGGGGGTCAAGCGGGTCTTTGCAAGGGCTTATGAAAGGGCGTCGGGTGATTTACGGTATATGGATTAGGGCTCAGAGTGTATGAACGTACACATACTTACACACACAGACATGTATACATATATATATATATATATATGTATGTATGTATGTATGTACGTACGTACGTATGTATGTATGTATGTATGTATACAGATGAGCACATGAACATTTATAATATTAGTATGCTTTAGTATGTATATGTATCTATATATATATACATACATACATATACATATATATATATATACATATATATATACATACATATATACGGTATATGCATACATGTATACACACACAACTTTACTTGGCTTGACTCTTGGGCACAGAAGTGAGCCGGGGGGTGTTTAAGCTAAGTACTTTTTTTGGGCTGGGTGTGGTCGGACAGTACTCGGGTCCAAGGTCTTTACTTGGGCTTCGCGGTTTTGTTGCTGGGCCGTTGGGCACAGGGTGTGGGGCTCAGTCTCAGGCTTAGGATCCAGGGTTGTTGATTCAGGTAGGGTTTAGGGAATAGGGTTTAGGGTTTAGGGTTTTCAGGTCTGTGGCTCTACATGCAAAAGCTGGCTACGGAGCAAGGGGATTGGGTTCAGGAGACTTCACACATCTCAGGTTGGATGTAGTCTCTGGTTGCGGTCAGGGCCTAAGCAGCATAGCGCCCAAACCACACCCATCAACCCTACCGAGAGAGAGTCTGAAGCCAATTTTGCGCAAGCCCCTCCGCAATGAACACATCAAAACCACAGAAACTCTGTCTACCAGGGTATATAGGGCGGCGAAGGCACCCCGAAAATTATGCCCAAGACACATGTTTGACCTTCAGGGCATGAGGATGTGAATGCGCTTTATGCTTCAGGTCGCATGAAACCGAAGTCAAGGCAGCACCTACCACACGCTGGTGCGCGGCAAGCTAAGCACATCTGAATCACAGCTTCCTACATCATACTACCAATGCCCCAAACCCAGAACGGTCCAAATTTTGGATCAAACTTCCCAACACAAGCTCTCGAGTGCCTGGATTTGCCTCATCTCAGATTCATGGGAGGCGACCACGGCGTGGTATTTGTCCACCTCACTTGGCTTCCAAGCTCCAAAACATTCATGATAGAATATATAGCATACCGCAATGCTATCTCTGATCCACTCAAACCAAGCCTAATGATATTCCAGTACAGTAGCACAAACTTGTTTTGGCATGATACGGTATAATACGATGTTATAAACTTGTCACATAACATCTCATTGGACGACATAACATAATACCTTATGACACGATACAACATACTATGACACCATGCAGCACCAGATATCACCTTGTAGCAAGAATGAAACCTAACATACATAGTATAGTATTGTATCGTGCCATATCGTATGCAAGGGTAGGGAAGAGAAAAGTAGAGTGGGGTGGAGAGGAGCAGAATGGAGTAGAGTAGAGTAGAGTAGAGTAGAGTAGAACAAGACGAAACGCTGCCGCTGCAAAGCCTCGCAAGAAAAGTGGCGTCTGCACAAGGCGAGAGATCTGGAGCGTAAACCAAAGTACAGGGGCTTTAATCTTAATATTAGAATAGGATGTTGGCACTATACTTTTGGAGAGACTAGAAGGGAATACTAACGGTTCCGACCCCTATATCAATTATTTGTGTCAATTTGCATAACCTTGACCTCCTGAACTCGAGCCTTGTACCATCCGGCGCAGACCAGAGATGTGGGGATGTCTGACAATCGGACCCCCAGATACCTTGTCTAGGAGTCATGGTGACACCCAGATCCGAGTCTCGGCGGTTATGCAGGAGGGTGGGGCAAGTTGGCCCTGTCCCTTACTTCACCTGCGGCTGGGTGACCGTCACCAGCTGTTCCGCATTGCGCTGCTCTTGCGCTTGAAGCCTCGGGCTCAACTTGCATGTGTCCAGCCATGTATCAACACATGTGGGTTTAGGGGTGAGGTACGTGCTGGTATTTAGCTTCGATTCAGAGAGCTCTTTCTCAGTCTCTCTGGTCGTGCAGCTTAGGATTCGGCGCTTGGGGCTTATTAGTGCCGGCGGGCTCAATGCTTGGTAGCTTGGGTCCTTCCCCCTTATATACTAGGATGACTGATTAAACCTCAACCTTCAACCCCTAAACTTACCGTTGGTTAGTAGGGAATGGAAGACTGGTAGTGATAGTAGTTAGAATTGTACCCCATTCCTCCATTCCCTACTAACCAAAGGTCAGTAAACCCCAAAGACCCCTGAACTCGGAACCCTCGGGACGACAGTGGCTTGGCTTACGTCCGGTCTCTTTGGAAGCCCCAAAGTGCAGAAGATCACACACTGATCACACACCAAAGCTTCCGGGTCCTAGGGTTTCTGACATTTCGGCTCGGGCTTCCGCTCATTTTACATGTCTCATGGAGAAAGACACGGCTTTGGGGTCTAGGTCGTGGGACGATCATGGGGTCGAAAACCAAAACCATTGCTTGCCGAATCGGGGCATGCAGTTTGTGCATCATCATGGAATGAAATGCTGTGCCCTATACTTTAGCACTTTGGCTTCGGAATCTGTGGTGCAGGGACACCTTGTCGGATGTCTGAGATGCAACTTGCGGCTTGCGACTTCAGTCCCGAAGTTGCGGGCTCAGCGTCTAGACCCAAGAGTATCCTACGAATATAAAACGGTGCCCTTTTTGGTTTAAAGGGGCTTATAAGGGAACCTGAATCCTAAAAAAAGGGAATAAGGGCTTACTCTGGGTCCTAGGGGTTAAGGATTCAGGATCTTAGGGGTTTAGGTGTTAAGCTCACCGCAGCGGCTCTCTTTTCCGAAGATATCTTTCCCTTGCACCCCAGATCGCGCCGGAGGCAGGTTTCGCCTACCCAACCTTACAAGCCCCAAACTCTGATTGAGACAAAGTCTCAAGTACTACAGCCTAAACCTCGACCGTGATCTGTAGGATGCCAAGCCATCTCACGATTAGTCCTCTCCAACCTCTATGTAATATAAAAGACTACTGGTATGACAACCACAGAACTAGTCCATGGTTGGGATAGTGTCAAAACTCTAAATTTCTCTTCCTTCTTGGATTGAAGTACCCATGAAGATGTAAAATGTTGCCCCGCTATGGCAGAGCGAAGCTTGACTGTACAACAACCCCAGAAGCTTGACTGTCGGACTACTTCAATTCTATAATAATGACTCGATACTCCTAGACCCAGGAGTAACCTAGGAATAAAAAGGGTGCCCTTTTTGGTTTAAAGGGGCTGAAAAGGGAACCTGAAACCTTATTAAGGGAACAAGGGCCTACTCTAGGTCCTAGACTCCCAGTGAGAAGCCAACCGAGGACCTCACAGAACCTTGAGTCTTTCGATCTCTTCCTCCTTCTCGAATCGGTGCCGTTTGATCTCGGAGATCTGCGCCGGGACAGGCTCAGGCATCCAAATGCTGAGCCCTAACACCCTGAACCCTTGCCCTACATGCTAAGCCCAGCTCCAATACACGAGAACAAAGAAATTTGGGGTCCCTATTGTAATACGGCACCTAGTATTTAGGGTACCCCAAAAGGGACCATAATTTTGACAGCTACCCAACACGAAACCCCCAAAGCTCCTGAAGCCTCCAACAGCACCAACACCAGACCAAGCCCTAGGCGCCAGCAGCAACACCAACTGCTGCCGCTACTGCTGCAAGGGAAAAGGGGAATGGATCCCTGATGTACAACACATTACATAGTAGTCCCTGCCTATATAATCCCCAATAATAGTCTCCATAATCCATTCCCCCCATTCCCTACTAAGCACCAGACAGATTACCGCTCGCCTCTTGATTTGCCTTCCGCAGGGTGTCGAGGGTCTCCTCGCGCGAGGCGCTGACCTGGGCATGCAGCTTCTGGAAACCGCTAAACCCTAAGCCCTACACCCCAAACCCTAAATCCAAACTGAGGACACCTGGGGTTCATACCTTCACGCAATAGCGCCTACATGCTCGGAGAATCATACCACAGATTCCTACGAAAACTGGTGATGGAGACCCTGACATGGTGACACGAAATGAAGCCCCAACTCCACAACCCAAACTCAAAGCCAAACCCCGACGAGTTACGGGAGAGCCCCTCGAAGCTAAACCATCCGAGCTTTGGGAACCTAGACTCTATGGCCTGAGCTCTAAACTCTGCTTAAAGGATCATGGGACTTACGAAATAGGGCTATGATTAGGGTAACTATGCTTAGTAGCTACTTATAACCCCAATTAAGGTACTTATAACCTTACTTACTAAGTCCCATGATCCTCCAAGTGGTAGACACTCCTGAACCAATGAAACCTACATGCACCTTGGTAAATCGAAAGCTCCTTCTCGTCCCTAAACCCTGAACCACATAAAGGACATAAAGCTATCAACCCTATCAACCCTGTGACAGCCTATGAACCCCTTGACCCTGCAAACCGTGCAAGGCCTTCCAGCCCAGTAAATCCTAGAGCCTCGGTAAACTTAGAGGCCTCACAAGGTGGGATGAAGGTAGGTGGGATTAAGGATCCCTTATATAAGGACTCTTATTTGGGAATGTCCCACCTACCTTCATCCTATCTTTTGAGGCCCCCGATAAGCCCTATTACACCCTAAACCCCAAAGCGGAACCTCGGCTAGAGTCACCGGGATCCTTGTGCACGCGGACTCTCAAAAAGACCTCATATACAACCCCAAAAAGCACGGTCATTATAGGGACCCCCAAACAGCGGACGCGAATATAGAACCCTAATATAGCGGCAGCAACATTTAGAATAGGGTTTTTTGGGGCCCATTATGCTAGAAGTATCATCAGGAACCCCAAAATAGGTATTGAAACTATTGAGGCCCCTATATTAAGCTTCTGATCCTTGTCAAAATCCAGTTTCCGAGCTGCCTCCATGGTCTCGCTCACGAGATTTCTGCGCTCCGCCCTCTCGTCAGAAATCACCTGCAGGGTTTGGGGTTTAGGGTTTAGGGAAAGAGGGCTTAATTTGGCTTCTTACAAGGGGCCGCACAAAAGGCCTAAAGAGTTTTTATCACGGTGCTCTGACTTTTTTGCAGGCTTGCCGGATTGCTTAAAAGCTTTCAGGGCTTATGGAACTACGGCTTAGGGACAGGCCCAGAGAGCCCAATACCCCTTAATTAAGGAATATGGCTTAAATTATATAGGGCTTCATATTATGAGTTAAGCGATATTCCTTAATTAAGGGGTATTGGGCTCTCTGGGGAGGGTGTGTAGGGCCGGTCGCAGGGCACGGGAGGTGCTTGTGGCTTTCTCTGGCTGCTACCTGTGGCTACACCATGAACCCTAAACCCGCAAGCCACCCACATGTGCAACTGGCCACGGGGGAAGCGATTACTTCTCGATTTGGCAGGTCATCTTAGAAGCTCATGTGGAGCCCATGCCTGCCCTGACAAGCCTAAGGCTCCGAGTTGCCCTGAGCGCCAGAATCCCTAAACCCTAAATGCCCCAAATACTAAACCACCACCTAAACCCCGCTTAAGTCCTGAGGCGGCTTGTCTAGCCCCTTGCTGTAAAAACCTCACAAGAAACACCCAAAAATCCAGGGACATGCTTCTCCGCCTTCTCCAACATCGCCACGCGCTGCGCGTGCGACTTTTGCTCCACCTGAATGTCAGAAACCAAGAAGCTTTCTACCCTAAACCCTAAACTGGCAATCCTACACCCTAAACCCTCAGTAATGGGAGCACGAATCGCCGGGCAATCGTGAGTCCGAAAACCAAATCCGAAACCCTAAAACCCGAAACAAGGTTATGGGGTGTAAACAATTGGAATAGTGTTCGTTTCAGCATTCCTATAACGGATACTACACTCGTTTCGTATCAGGGCCTGAAGAATTAGAATAGGACTTCGGCGCGTGACAATAGACCCTGAACCCCAAACCCCTAAACCCCTAAACCCTAAACCCCTAATGCTATCCAAACCCCCCACCTGCTGCTCCAAAGTCATCTTCTGCATGGCAGACCTGAGACCGGTTGTCGTTCCTCTCTTTTCTGCCCCTGTTTCAAGAAACCTTGGTTTAGGGTTTAGGGTTTAGGGCTTAAGGTTTAGGGCTTAGGGTGTGTAAGCTTCTTATATGTCGGACCTCTGGAATTTAGGGCTGGGTCTAGCGAGCTTGTTCCGGTGGTTCAGAATCCTCGTGCGTGCATCTACTGTCGGGGCCTTACTAATTAGAATACGGTTTGGGGACTCATTATGTTATACGAACCCCGAAAAATAGTATTGGTAAGTATTTTGGCCCCTACCATAGCAGTCGATGTTGGGGGGCTGTTTCAAGCGCAGGGTTTGGGCTCAAGGGCCTTTGGCCTTCCAGGATCCCGGTGTTTAGGATTTGGGATTTGGGGCATAGGGTCTTAGGGTTGATTTCGACTTCGGGATCTAAAGTTTTGTTTTGGGTTAGGGTTTAGGGTTTAAAGGGATCTAAGGCTTGAGGTTCTGACCATAAGCTCTACGGTTGGAAGCCTTTGTGCTTAGTGGTTCGCTCTGTGCTATCATTATCGACGTCAACCATGCGACCTAGATCCAAAGAGACAACATGCCAGGCGCAGAACTAGACTGGTAACCTGGTAAACGATAGTGACACGCCTTCTGCACTCTCAAAGATCCGAAGGCGTTGACCTTCTTGCAAGCTTGGGCGTTAAGGCAGCGGGACCGAGAAGAGTTCACCTACCTTAGAACCACCTCCCTTAGCAGTGCCCTGTGACATTCTCACATATTTTGAGAGGGGCCAAAGCCAGACAAGCTTCAATTCGATTGCAGCTTGAATCACGGACCAAGTTGGTAACCTGATCCTATCAGAAAACCAGAAAGCCAAGAGACTTAGTGTCACGGAGGATGCTCTCCAGCCGCACCTCCCAAGCATGTAAACGGTCACAGCCCCAAGTCAAAGTTCTAAGCATAGTAAGCTTGTTAGCCTGGCAGGATGGGAGGACGACCAGGACGGAGACGCCAGCACCGTCAAGCTCATCATGATACTGATGATATGGAACACAGTAGTGGTAGCAACGATGCCCCAGAAGAACAGACATGGCAAGAACAGGCATCCTTCGTACAATGACATGCATGCTCATCAGCATGCTGGTTCTGCTGGTGCTGATGAAAGCAGCATAGGGCAGTCTTGATTTGCAGTACTAGTAGTCCATCGTCATCGTTGTCGTCATCGTCGACCTCGAACCTGAATTGGGTCTCGCGCTTGTGGCTTTCAGCCCTAAACACTGTTTCCTAGCAGCCTGCAGGAAAAGATGGAAAAGGAGCAAAGGGGGCCTTGTTGTTGGTGACATCTGTCAGCTCCCGCTGTGTGGAGTCAACCTCGTCAGCGTGACGGCGTCTCGTCGGTATACGGCCCTATACTAAGCCCTAGACCCACAAACCGGAAACACGTAAAGCCGCAAACCCAGAACCGCGTCGGGACCCCAGTGAGGCTTAAAACGCGGAGTGTCCGGGCATGGCAAGCGCGAAGCGCGGGCTTAATTTGCATGGCTAGAAGACTCAAAAGTTCAGACTTTCACCGAAAATAATGCCCAGTATTTGGGGGACGGGGGTGATATTTAGGTAAAGCCAACCATAATCATAAGCTGGCGACTGCCAAGCGGGAGGTGTCCAGCTGCACCACCAAATTCTGCACCTTGAGGGTTTAGGCAAAGGGCTTAGAGGGCTGTACTTGGATTCCAGTTCAGGATGCGTCTTGGGCGAGTAGCGATGGTGCGGTAAGTTTAGGGTTGAAGTTTTAGGAAGTTGAAGTTTACGGCTCAAACCCTAAACCCTAAACACCTAAACGCCTAAGCCCTAAATCTGGGCGTGGGGTTTGGGGCTCAACAAACTTGGATTTGGTGCTGTGCCAATTGTGAGATTGCACGGCCCTCAACTTTACCCGCCTTGCTATAACTTTGAGCCTTCCTCTTGAGCAGCAAACACCCAGAGACTCCAATATCCCTTAATTAAGGAATATACCTTAAATCATATTAAATAGGGATCCTACGATAATTTAGGGAGTATTCCTTAATTAAGGGATCATGGGGTCTCTGGGCACTACAACGCTGAACCCCAAGGCCCTTTCATCCTGGACCTGAACCCTAAAGGCCCTAAAGGGAACTCCAGAAAGTTGGAATATTAGGGTTTAGGGTTTAGGGTTTAGGGTTTAGGGTTTAGGGTTTAGGGTCCCCTATAATTTACCTTAGAGGGGTTACGATAATGATATTCCAACTTTCTGGCTTCTACTGTAAGTCCCACACCCAAAACCCTGAACCGCAGAGCTTAAACCTTTAAGCCTTAAATCCCAAGGCAGACCCCGAACCCTGCCCTGAATCCCTACTTGGAGGTCCATGGGTAGGTAGAAGTAGGGTTATAAGTAAGGTTCCTTTAAAGGGATCTATAGGGTTATAGGGTTTAGGGATTAGGGTTTAGGGCTTAGGGTAGTTAGAAGTAGGGTTATAAATTGGGTAACTATACTTATAAGCCATATTAGGGGACTGATAACCCCACTTATAACTACCCCTGAACCTCAAGCAAACCCAAAACCCTAGACCCTTATAGAATCCCTATAGATCCCTTTAACTGGACCCTTAAAGGAACCCTTATAACTACCTAGCCCTGAACCTCCAAGCACAGTCTTCCAGATCTCTGAGGCTACGAAGCCCCGGGCTCCGGACTCGAGAGCTTTATGGTCTCGGATCTTTGTATTATGGGCTTTGGACTTCGGGTGTTAATCCCTGAGCCCCATGCTATCTAAACAACAGCTAACTTGGAATATAACTAAATATACATATATATATATATGTATATGTATATATATATAGAGAGAGAGAGAGAGAGAGATGGCCTGAATCCTGCTTGTATATGCCCATGACTTGGAAGTAGATCCCGAGGTAAAACCACGCAGAACACCAAAAACTTATAGGAACTGCAGGCAGACTGCATCAGAGACCGAAGGGCACCCTAACCCGAACCCCAAAGTCAAAAACCCCCTTAACACAAAAACCTTAAACCCCAAAACCCCTCAAGCCCTAAATCCTAAACCCTCACAAAGGTACACCTGCGCCATCAGAGTCTTCTTCTCCTCTTGCAAGCTCTTCCGGAGCCCCGTCTGCGCACGCGAGACAGCTTCAGGTGGTCTCGGGCTGGTGGGAGATAGGCCACATGTGGGAGTTTCCGAAAATGGGGAGTCCTACTATAGTACCCTAAATAGTACGACCCTTATTATAAGGACCCCACAATAAGGGACCCCATTGGTTTCCGCATATCACCTACTAAGTACTTGCTTTGACCTTACGAGCTCCTTGGTGTAAGTGTTGGAAACCGTTGTCGGCTGTCGAGATTTAGGACCGATATTTGAGGTTCAGCTTCTGGAGCGCCTTTTGACTTGTCCCCGTGGTGGATGGACCAGATGCTCACACATTCTCCTAGCCCTGAAACACAATACGGGCAGCAAATGATGCTACTCGACACATCAATTCATGTGATCCCCCTAACCCGTTTACTTGCAACGAAGAAATGCTCACTATCCAGAACTCCCTAAACTAGCCACCCGTCCAAAAGTGGCGCTAACTGTTCATATCAGGACCCGAAACTATGAAAAACTGCACTGAAGCACGTCAGGGCACATCGTCCCCGCACCTCCTTCGTCAGCTGGTCGTCCAAGCGCAGCACATCCTGTCTCAGGGCACTCTAATCGCCCCCGGCACTCCCTTCTTGACAGTTCAGAGACGACATAGCGGAGCCCCAGTGCATTCGCGAGAGTTCCTTCGAACCCCATAGTAATAATAGTAATAATAGTAATAATAGCAATAATAGTAATAATAGTAATAATAGTAATAATAGTAATAATCATAATAATCATAATAATCATAATAATAATAATAACAATAGTAGTAAAAGTAGTAATAATAAAAGCCTTAAACCCTTAGCTGCAAATCTGCCTCACGGAGATTGTCCAGCTCGACGCCCATGGTGCGATGGATATCTTGCAGCTCCTGGTGCGAGACCTGCAGAGTTCGGGGCTTAGGACAGGCGAGGTTTCCCAAAAAGGTTTGAGTGCTGTTTTCCGGTTTCGAAGTACAGGGCCTGGGCGCAGGTTTTAAGTTGCTGATAAGGGACTGGAAGGAACTTATAACCTCCTTCTGCACTACTGAAATGGTCTTTCCAGTAGCGAAGGCAACGAAACCTGCGGTCCGCAATAGGATGACAACAACAGCTATCAAGCAAAAACGAGGCTTCTGACAAGTCGGGCCAGCCTCTCATCCTTAAACCTGAAGAGCAACAGTTTGACACGAAAGAACAAGAAAGATCGATGGCGGAAATTGTGGTTGAGTATATGGTGACGGCGATGATGAGGAGGATGACGATGACGATGATGATGATGATGATGATGATGATGACGATGATGATGATGATGACGATGATGGGATGAGGAAGAGGGCGGGGAAGACGAATGTGACAGTGACGATGTTGATACTGGTATTGATACTGATGTTGATGATGTTGTTGGTGATGATGACGATGATGATGATGATGATGCGTGGGGACTGTGACGACGATAGTGATGAGGATGATGAAGATGATGAAGATGATGAGGATGAGGATGATGATGATGATGTTAGGAGGCGGAGGAAGAGGAGGAGGAGGAGGAGGAGGAGGAGGAGGAGGAGGAGGCTGTCGGCCATGGTGATGGTGATGAGCATGGTGAAGACCTTGATGACGAGAAGGAGGCAGAAGAGCAGGATGTTGACGGCGAGTTCGACGACAATTATGACTGGGATGGTGAGAATAACTGCGGCAATAAGGATGGAAGGCAATGGCATTCGGCACAGCAACAACAGTGCCGACCTCAATGTAAACACGAAGTCGTAATCACGAAAGTGCTGCTGATGGTGATAGCAAATATGACGCTGGTGAAGGGGGCGATCATGACCTTGAAGATTGCAATGCTTCGATGATCTGCTCAGGGCTGAGGGTTTAGAGTTAATGTTCAGGGTTCAGGGTTTAGGATTGTGGACGGATGGATGAAGCAAAACTACTGCAAACACCGTAATGTCCCTCCCCCGGTCCCGCCCACGCGGCCTCTTGCAGGAGTTTGCTGCCCCGCATCCCTAGCTCAGCCGGCCGTAAAACCCAAAAGGTCTTAAACTCCACAAAGCTCGAATCCCTAAAGACCTGAACCCCAAAGCCCTCAACCCTAAACCCTGAACCCTAAAGCCCTAAAGCCCCAAAGCCCTAAAGCCCTAAAACCCACAACCCTAAACCCCAAAACCCGAAGCCCTAAAGCCTAAAGCCCTAAAGCCCTTAAGCCCTAAGCCCCAAAGCCCTGAAGCCCTAAAGCCCTGAAGCCCTAAACCCACAACCCTGAAGCCCTAAAGCCCTAAAGCCCCAAAGCCCCAAAGCCCTAAAGCCCTAAAGCCCTAAAGCCCTAAACCCACAACCCTAAACCCCAAAACCCTAAAACCCTAAAGCCATAAACCCAAAACCCTAAACCCCAAAACCCGAAGCCCCAAAGCCCTAAAGCCCTGAAGCCCTTATATAACCCCAAATCCTACGGCGGCAGGCCCAACCCGCCTGGAGAGTTTTCAGCGACGTCTCCGCCCTGTCGACTTGATCAACCTGGCTTCGTCAAGCTTCATTGTGGGTAGTTCTGAATTCGGGCTATGGGGTTTCCGACTTTTGGGCTTCTACTGAAGGGTTCTAATCTTCATGGTGGGTAGTTCTGAATTCGGGTTCCTTCATGGGTCCCCAAATCTAGTTCATGGCTGGGATAGGATAAAAAATGTAAACTTCTATTCCTTATTGGGTTTCAGTAACCATAAAACATGCAAATTCTTACCCAACTATGGCAAAGTTGTGGGTACTTCTGAATTCGGGTTCCTTCATTGGTCCCCAAATCTAGTTCATGGTTGGGGTCGGATTAAAAATCAAAATTTCTATTGTGGGTAGTTACAGCAAACCCCTTAAACTTGGAAACCGGATTAGGGTTCAGGGATTAGGATTTACACATAAAGTTGGAAACCGGATTAAGGCCAAATAGTGCTGGAATTCCCTATACATGACTATTAAGGATTGAGGCTATGGGGTTTCCAACTTTTTGGGCTTCTACTGTAGGGTTCCTTCACAGGTCCCCAAATGCATAATACAGCAACCCTAAATCCTAAACCCTGAACCCAGAATCCTAAACGCAAACACGTAAGTACAGTGGGGCTCGGAGGTGGGGATTTCCCTTGCACCTATCAGCCCCTGCATCCGGGTGTGTAACATCGGGGCATTAATGATTAGAGTAGGGTTTGGGGCCATAAATATGACAAGGAACCCCCAACTAGTACTAGTAACTGTTTGGGTCCCTGTATTATTGAGAGCTGCAGCTTCCGCAGATAAAATCCGTAGAGCATGGCTGGGAATGTGGAGAACCGGTGAGTTGGTGGAACAAATCGCAAAGGGCACGAAGTTCAGAGCAGAGTCCACCACCTCTGGACTCAAGCACCAGCACCACCATGATAATCAAGGTTATCATCATCTTCCTTCTAGTCAGGGTTTAGAGTTTAAGGTTGCGGGTTCGGGATACCAAGAGGGCTCTCCACACTACCGGCCGCTGCCTTGCGGTTCAGCTCGATCTGCACGGTACGGTGCACAAGGTTCAAGTCGTTCAACTGCTTTTGGAGGTTGCGCCGTTCCTGCAGCGGCAAAGGCCAGGATACAGTTCTATTATAGGGTTCCACTGGCTAAACACTTTCGGATGGGTGCCTCAATGTCCGAAAATAAGCGCTTTCAAAGCTACGTACCCGAACAAGTCGCAGGCTGCCACCCTGAAACCGACGTTCTACGCCCCAAGCCTCGAATTGGACTTGGGTTTATAGGTTTAGGAAGGCCCAATGCGCTTTGTTGATGCGTTCTGCGTTCGCACATTGCACATTATGGGCTGGTCGGTGTTTGGATGTAGGCTCTTTGCAACGCTGGCTCCCGCTTCTTCAGTTCCGGCGATTGCCGTCACGGTCGAGGTATTGAGACTGGGAGCTGGCGTTTCGGGGATGGCAAAAATTACGTGGGCTTCGCGCTGGATCTTAAATGCCATGCCCACCCGAATTTGCTATTAACCCTAAATCCTAAGCCCTAAACCCTGAAACCCTAAACCCTACACTTAAACCCTGAACACTGAAGCTCCTAGTGACAAAACATGGAGACGAATTGGAAACACAGGCAGCTAAGGCCCAATCTCTTTGCCTCGAAAACAGAAACTCTGACACTTTCAACCCGCAGCCCCAAGCGCCCCAAACCTAGTCCATGGTTGGCATCGTACTAAAACCCTAACTTTTGTCGGTTCCCTCATGGGTTTAAGTACCAATAAGGTTGTGAGATGTCAAGCAACGATGACAAGGAAGCCGCCTCCCAACTTCTCAGTCTCTTGCTCAAAACGGCTGCTTTAAGGATTATCTCAGAAGGCCTGCGGCCACGGTCCTCTGTGGCACCAGCTGATGATAAAAATTATCAGTCCAGAGCCCCCTGTTTAGGGGGTTTAGTATGGCGTGTAGGATTTGGCTCGGATCAATCCACACCAACTGACCAGCCTCGACCAAACATTTTCCATTTCGCAGCGGTAGAGTCTGTAACAGACGCGCGCCTAGCATACAAATTAAGATGGTGAAACAGGGAGGCTCAGTCGAGAGGAGATCGCAGCCCGAGGCTATCACACGCAAAGCCAAGGCTCTCAAACCAATCCTTTAGAAAAGGAAAGGGCCGCCACAGCCCCGGACACACGAGCTCTACCGGCCCGGAACAGGCAGCGAGGGCACAATCGGCAAGCACATGACATGCCGCCTCTGTCCAGACCGCAAGGGCGCGGAAATCTTTGAGAGGCATGCTGGTAGGCTCACCGAGAGAGACAAGAAGGCGTGGTGGCTCCTCGAGCTTGGTGCGCTTGACGGACCCAGAAAGCACGAAGCAAAGTCCAGAAGGGTTGCCCCAACTTGGCACTTCATAAGTCCGTTTCTTGCCGGCCTTTGCAGAGGCAGGAAATGTTTCTGCAAGCACCTGCGGATCAAGAAGTAACAGCGCGTTTTCAGCACACTCCTGGCGCCAAGCACATCCGGGTCTTGCTGAGCTCCACCGCTGCACAGTGGCACGTAATGTAGCAAGCGGCTCAATGTGTTCGGCAATACACTCCCAAACCTCTGTCTCTGCACACTTGTCGTGCCTCTCCAGATCAGCGAGCAGTGTCGCGGAGAAAGAGGATTCAGAGGGCAGGGTGGGCTCTGTCAACAAGCGCCCAGCCGCAACCACCGGCGGTGCCAGGGAGTGCAGGTCTCCTGGCTTAGCGGCTTGGGCCGGCACAAAACATCCCCAGCGCTCAACACAAGCAGCTACACTGGTAAGGTGTCGCCGGAGGCGTCCTTGCGAGGAAAAGACCTTGCCACATGATAGGCATGTACACCCCTCTCCAAGAAGAAAGGCTTTACTTCTATATCCGTGGCAGCGCGCAGCATGGCCTGCCCACGCGACTCTAGAAGAGAAAGCCCTCTTGCACGGGATGCACAGGTCGGTGAGCGGAGGCAGATCGACGTTGTCTCCCAGGGATGGGACCCCTGACAAGGTTTCAAGTCCTCGGTGAAGCCCATCCAGTGCAGCAACAATGGCAATCCTGGCCCCATCCAGAGCGCAAGCCTTCTTGACAAGACCCTTGAAGACACCAGGACGGCGTTGCATCAGGGCCAACCATGAGCCCCAATCATCGGCAGGCGATTGCATGCCTGAGGTGGCATGGGTCCAGCCATGCACCCAACGCATATCAGCAATGAGTTGCTCAGCATATGGACGATCAGCTCTGAGGGCTGCCCACAGCGAAGGCGGAGCAGCACTGGCCAACTGACGCAAATACAGAAGCCGCTCTCTGCGAAGAGTGGTGCAGGGGGTTGGCAGACCTGAAAGTGCACAACAGGCAAAGGCAGTGAGGCGTTGCTCTGCTGTGCGG